GAGAGCACCCCTGTCATTGGATGACTCAGAGGATGAGAACGCTGACAGTAAGCAGCAGCAGCCGCAGCAGCAGCAGCAGCATCACAGACGGCCGTTTGTTTCTCCGAGCTTCACTCGTCCTTCTTGTTTCCCCAGCTGAACAGTTTGAACTTGGTGGGCTTTTTCTTGTTTTTGTCTTTTTTGAGGTCTACGACAGAACAACAACAAAAAAAAAAGAGACCAGATATAAAACACACAAACTGGCACAAAGTGAAAACATGTGATGAAACTTTGGCGTTAACTTTCTGAATCCATTAGAGTAAAAAGGCTAATCTCTGGCCCGTGGTCGGCGTTCGCTCGCTGAAATATAATGACCTTTCACAGAAATTCAATAAATCTCCTCAATTTCAGCTCCGCATTCACAATCATGAATTGCAAATGAAGCGGGGCTTGGACTCTGTTTTATCACGCAGAGTTATCAGAGGGTCAAATTAACTTGGTGCAACAACCATTTGTAGAACAGGAGAAAAATTAAATATTAGAAAAAACAAGCGGGAAGCATTTTCTCAATGCTTTAGTTCCATTAGATGACACCAGATCAAATGAGATGAAAAAAAAATGGTAGCACCTTTGAAAATGCACAACTTCCTCCACCCACCCCACACCCTGACACACACACACACACACACACACATTTACAAACTTCCATAACACAGTGAGAATACCCTACTTCACTTACCGATGCACATTATAACAATCCTAAATTTGATCATTTATGAGCCAGGTAAGTCACAGTGACACTGAGGTGGTGAGAACTAAAAAAAAAACAGCATAATGGAGGGAGGAGGAGGAGTAGGTGTAGAAACACTCACTGAAACTCTTCATCAGCTGGTTTAGCTGCTCATCCTCCTCTTCCTCCCTGAAGAAAAAAAAAAGAAACACAAAAAGCAGATTAATGACAGTCCATAGTGATGTGAATGTAGGCAGAGTTACAGTACAACACGACCCAACACGGTTATCAAATGTAAATTATTTAAAGAAAAATACTTGTAGTTGTAATAAAATATGTGAAGTCTGTAACTTGTGACACATTTCCTGGGAGTTGTACTCCAGTATTCTTCACTTTACTTCTGTTTTTTTATATTTAWATTTTTTAACTATTAGTTCTTAGCAAACTCAAAACATCAGCTGTACAAATGTCATCTGAAAAAAAAAACTGTCCAGGGGCTTTTAAAAGTATGGTTCACATTATTGAAAGTGGGTTTCTGAAAATGAATTGTAAATATCTTACCTGTAGCAGGTACCTCTTCGAGRAACCTCAGTTTAGAGAATAATTCTGACAGAACTGACAAGCTAACGGCTAGTCGTGTAGGGCCGAGAGAGTTGCTGCTTTCTTACAAAAAGAATTATACTTTATGGGTCTCTACACCAGCATCAGTTTCTCATCGCCCAATTATTTACAATGAATTATTTTAATAAAACAATTTGTTAATTCTGTGATTATTTGCAAAGTGGAAATGATGGTAGCAGCAACTAGTTTTAGCGCCCTCTGGAACATGGGGTACTTCTTAAAGGAATATTTTAATATTTCTGCTCAGATACTCAACTAATGAGAAGAGATGATGGTGTAAAAGTTCATAGATTTATTATTTTTTTATTTAATCCAGGACCTTCTTGCTGTGAGGCATCAGTGCYAACAACTAAGCTGCTGTGCTGCTGTTTAGTGTTTATGGAAAAGTGTAAAATATTTCTGAGATTGRAGTCATTAAAATGTCACAAATCTATTTTTGATCTGTTAGCTGTTAGCGCACAGGTCTGGTCGAACGTAACTGTTCTTCTACAACAGGTAAGATACTGATGGTTCATAACCTTTCCACAAAACACCACTTTTAAAGACGTGAACTATTACTTTAAAATGTGTTGGGATCCCTGTTTGTAAAGCTGAGGAGCACAATATTTTTACAGCATAAAAAGGTAGGTCAGATCTTAGTCATACAGCAGATTTAATCCACAACGGATCTCCACCAGTCTCCTGACCCACCTGAGTCGGTCCTCGTCCAGACCCTCCACAATGGCGTTCCTGTCATTAACAATCTCCAACAGTTTCCCCATCAGCTCCTCTTCTTTCTGTTTGTCCCAGGTGGTCTTCAGATGCTCTGCAGAAGCAGACAGGTGTTGGTCTAAAAGCGGCGTTGTGCGTCTGTAGAACACAGAACCTGGAACCGTTTCTCCGAAAGGCCTCACCTGGTTTCTCCATCAGTCTCCTGAGCGCCTCCTCAACACTGGGTTGCTCTTCCTCCAGTTCCTGAGTTTTCCCACTGAATGGGGAAAAAAAAAACAAAGAAAAATATCCACATGTATTTTTATTAGACAACAAATAGTGCTGCACAAACATCTCAAGTTTTTTCTAATTTTCTTTCATTTTTAGCAAACAAAAAGAGGTTATATCTTAGATAAATACATATTGCTCTAAACCTAACAAGGTGAAGTCCTCTGGATGGTTTCTTTCAATTTATATCCAAAAGACTTCCTCAGTCAGAGGCATTGCAGGCAAACTCTGCAGTTCCTCCACATAGTGAATCAACCAGTTTGTTGGAAACATCCTAAACTAGTTCAAAGGAAAAAAAAATTGTATAGGTCCTCTGGACGGGTTCTTCTTTAATGAAACGTTTCGTCTCTCTTCCAAGAGAGACGACGTTCCTGGCGTTCCTGGATTGCGATGTCTCGGTTTCGGATGGAGGACGGTTGGAAACTGGCGTGTATCGTAAGCCCACCCACAC